ACCAGACCCAACTTTCCCTCTCTGTGTTTCCCAACACCCTTCTTTCAGGCAGGCTGTGCCTGATGGCCCAACACGGCTGCTTGTAGCTCCCAGAGCTACCTGCATCCCACTTCCAGTCCCAAGAGGGGTTGTGAGCAGTCCCAACCAAACTACACTGAGAATGGGGAGGCTACTGATGGCTGGAGAGGAGGAGACCCCGTGAGAGCGATCGTAAAACAAAGACAGAGCTGAGGGACGAGAAAGCCTGGCGGGGGCACAGAGAGATGTTGAGCGGATGAGCTACTTGCTACGGAGGATGCACTGCCAGCTCCATTCACCTTGGACTCGTCCGCATCAGAGACTTGGGTGCCGTTGAGGAAGTGCAACTGATTCTAATATCAGCCAGTGCTCAGTATAACTCGGATGACCGATACCCGTTCACAGCTGAAACGCTTTGCACGTGTGGATTTGTTACCCGTCTCAAAGGTGTATAGATCGTGCGTTGTCTGAGCCATCTGGTCCACTGACTCGTTTGGGTTCGGGTGAAATGACAGAGTTTGTCTGGCCACTGATCATTTCAGCAGATTCTACTCTGAGTTCTGTATCATTTTTTTCCGGGACTTGGGAGAAGAGTGGTTGAGTGGAGGAAAAGGGAAACATACACTATAATTACTAAAACAACAAGATGCTTTTCATCTGTCAAATTGGCAAGGGTTACAAAAGCAGGGAATGCCCAAGACTGCTGAGACTTCAGAGAAATAGCCCCATCATGCATTGCTGGAGGGAGGGTGGGGGCGTAACCCTCCTGAAAGACAGTTTGGAAATATATAGGAGACATCTAAAAATGTGTGTGCCCTTTGATCAAGCCAGTCTCTCTCTAGAAATATTAAGAAATAATCATAAACATACACAGTATATGGATACTCCTTAAAGTTACATATAATAATGAAAAATTAGAAATCATCTTAATGACTAAAAATATAACCTTGTTTAAATAACTTAGGGTTTAGCCGTATGATGCAGTCATTTAAAATCATGTTTTAGAAAATTTAGAAAATTTTCGTGCGTTGAACGAAATTTTAGAAAATTTATTTTTAAGCCACCTCTTTGGTTCCCATCAAAGTAATGGTATGGCCACTACATTAGTGGACTCTTTTTCACTTTTAATTGAGTTTTGACAATGTCTACAAGTTTGTGGAGTTTGACTTACATTTTTGTGAGTATTTTGGGATAATTCTTAAGGGTTATGAGGTTTCCTTTGGGGGTAATAGTAATATTACAAAATTGGTCAGGGTGATGGATAACTCTGTTAAAAAAATGCCACTTAATTGTACACTTAAAAATTAGTGAGTTATATAACATTTGAATTATATCTCAATAAAGCTATTAAATTATATGAAAAATTAAAAATAAGTAAACTCTGGTTTTAGAACAATATCCTATGTTGGCATGGGAAAATACCTAGTCTATTGTTAAGGGGTGCAAAGCAGTTTGATCAAATTTCATTAAAAAGGTAAATCCAAAAAAAATACATACACAAAGAAAATACAGGAAAAAATGCATCAAAATGGTAATAGTGATATGCTGGGAAGGGTAACAGGTAATTTTTATTTACTTTTTGGTATGTTTTTCTATTAACAAATTTTTAACAATGAACATGTATTACTTTTGAAATCAGATTTTTTTCTTAAAAAATAAGACAGAACGCACCAGAAGTCTTCTAATGGCCACATTAAGGATTGACTTTTCTCCACTGTTTGCTACCTGTCCAGCTATTTCTAGGTCTCCTCCAAGTCTCCTCCTTTCTCCCCAGAACACATGCACGAACCCCCGCCCTCTCCTAGAACTCAGCTCCTTCTCTCCAGGTAGCAGCTGGGGCACAGGCTTGCATGTTACCTGGGGGTGGGATCCTGCCCCACATCTTCTGAGGGGCAGGCTGCTCTTCTCTCACCAGGTGGATCTCAGTCTGTCACCCTCATCCACGTAGCAAGTGTGGGCTGTGCGTGAGATCCATCAGGATAAACCCAGGCGACCTGACAGCTCTTTGTTCATAATAGGTGCCCAGCAGATGTGTGGATGCATAAATAAAGCACTCAAATCAGCAGAGACGTTTTAGGGCTCTCTGGGGACAAGAAGACAAGGGAGCTATGGGCCAGCCAGGTCAAGAGCAACTCAGAAGTATTGGCTTTAGATACGGTGCTCAGGCCTCTTAATCAATACTAAAAGCTTACTGGCTCCCACATTTTGTATTATGCTAGGGTGTCTACCCCTGAGAGGATTTCAACAGTTTTTTAAAAATGAAATCATTAGCCCAGCTTATATTTCAGGGCTGTGTTACACTGGTCAGTGGAGCAGGATGTTTTACTAAACAGCAAGTTGGACACTTACCCAAATTGGTGAGCCACATCGCCCCACAGAGAAGTCCCCTCCTCACCAGCATGGGGCTTATCATGTGTCTAGACAGCAGGAACAGTTCTCATTGCCCTTTGCCATTGAACTTGCCAGATGTGTCAAAGGCCTAAGGTCACTGACAGAACATAACACACCAATAAAAAGAAACACACAGTCCTCGTCCCTTTGCAGAAGCCTTTCTTGACTCGGGTTCCACCCTCTGGATGCCAAGCGCGGGGTTCACTGTGCTGCGTTTGTTCCCGTGTTGCTATCTCTGTTCTCTATTTGATACATAGACAAAGTTGTGCTTGCTCAGGGTGCAGAGATTTCAGTGGGGAAAATGTGCAGCTTGGAAAACCAGACCCCATTGTGCGCCCTTGTTACCATCGCCCAACCGGTCAGCCTTGTGGAGCTGTAGCTCTCTCCCTCACCTGCAAAGAGACGGCTCCCAACCCTCCTCACATGATTATTTTGAAGCTGGAATGCTATTATAGGTATAGAAATGAGTGTAAAACATGTTATACCTATATGACATTATCTTTTATATGGAATGCAGTAGGTCTTAAGAAATAAGAGATAGAATTGCATTGTGGGGTTATGAAGGCGGGTACAGAGTTAGACCCTCACTGTGTGCACTTGGACAAATCAGCCTCTGTGTGCCTGGTTTTCCTTCCGTAAACGGGAAGAATAACAACACTTCATAGAGTTGACATGAAGGTGAAATGAAATAACACATGCAAAGTACTTCTAAATAATACCTAGCACCTATGAAGGGGGTAACCTAAACGGAATTATCTTCTGGAGGGCGGGCTGATTGAAGTACAGGCTTCCCCGGCTAGGCAAGTGTTCTAGGAATACATCTGTATCAGGGTAGCAGCTGGCATTGTTGTGAGAGGCTGCGTTCAACTTCAGTGAATTTTGTTTGAAAACTCTTTCAATGTGTTTGCCCATTTCATGATGGGTGGTTTACGAGCGCACCTGCCCACACTACATGCTGAGTGTTCAACAGCTTTTGACCCAAAGCAGCATGCCTCCTGTGTTCCCCTCTCCCTAGTCACCTGATCTTGCCCCAGAGGCCTTTTTTTTTCCAGGATGAAGAAAGTCCTCAAAGGGAAATGTATTGCTGATGTGGAAGAGGTGAAACAGAAAACAGCAGAAGCACTAAAAGACATCAACATTGACAAGTTCAAAACTGTTTTGAGCAGTGGGAAAAACATCGTGATAGATGTATTGCATTTGAAGGTGGCTGGGATTTAAACATGTAAGAATAAATACACAATTTTTTAGAAATACATTCCGTTTTTGGGGGTCCCTCCTTCATAGTAAGCATTCAATAAATGTAAGCTGCTGCTGTAAATGAATGAGAAAGGTCAATATGTCTGTAAAAAAAATTGCATATTGGGGCCCAAAAGCAGAGTGATGGTAGCACAGAGTACAAATGGGAGCTCTGTAACCGAGCATCTTCTGTGATCAATCCGGGAAGGCTTCATGAAGGAGCTGGACTTGCAGGAGCTCTTTGAATAAGTCAGAAGATTAATTGTCTGTCTGGGGAGGAGAAACTGTATCCAAACTCCTGATAAAATTTGGAAGAAGTTTCAGAGGGTGTAGGGTTACCAGATTGATGGGAGGTTGAAAAGCTCTGAAAAAAAGAAGCTCGGTAGCCAAAATGTAAGCTTGACCGCCTGTAGAAAGCTCTAAAATAGAGCAGACTAGGCCCCTAAGAGCTGCTTTCAAAATCTTGAACTTGACAATTGTGCTGCAGCAGCATCCTCAGCTGTGCCCGCAGACGGCGCTCCCCAGACCTCAGATAGACGGGTGGCTCAACAGGCAAATGCATATTAATTGCAGTTTTGTCTAATCGTGTGGCAGAATTGAGAGGAGAAAGAGGTGACTGTTGGAAGAGCACAAATTCTGGGATATTCGGGGACTGGGGAGCTCTCCACATCTGAGAATAAGAAGAAAAAGGCTCTGTTCTAAAAGAGCAGGGATGCAGAAATAATATATAATTCGTTTTGATAAAAGGAGTGGTTGATATTGCCTGTGTAAAGGATTTGGTGTCAGAAAGTCTACCAACTTCCAGTTATTTAGGATGGCGTCACATGCCCCAAGTCGGAGGAATACTGGAGAGTAAATACTGTTAATCACATACAAAGGACCATGGGGTCAAGAAACAGAAGGGCCGTCAGGGATCAGTTCTTGTCTGACGTCCTCCCTGTATTAGAGGAGGAAACTGAGGCTGAGAGAATGGGGTAACCCACCCAAAGTCTCTAACCCAAGCATTTCAGGATTCCGCTAGTCTCTTTGTTTCCCGTTTGGATACGATCAGGAAGAAAATTCCCGTTTTGTTGTGCGGCTGCGGGGAGCCACGAGCGAGTCCCCTTTAAGCGCATCCTCTGGACTCCCCGGCTGGCAGGCTTTGATGCGCCCACCGTGCCTTCCCATTGGCTATTTTGTGTGGCTCCTCGCCCCCTTCTAAGATTCTAAACCAATACACTGCTCCCTCTGGCGCCGGGGCGGGCTTTGAGGAATGTACCATGCGGACCGTGCGGGGGGGGCTGGAGGGGACGGGCCTGGCGACGTCGCCTTTCTTTACCTTTGCCTGTCACCGTGACATTCCCGCACCGCCGGAGCCCATAGGTAGCAACAGCTACCTGGAGTGAGGAGCCACGCGGCAGCGGCCCGGGCGTGCACTTAGAGCTGCTACCCCCAGGCTGCGGCCCAGTGGTGGGGCTGGAGGGCCGCAGCCCCCGCCCTTCCATGTGTCCGCCCAGCCGGCGGCCGCAAGGCGCACTCGGCTGCGCGCTGGGTGCAGTCGCCCGCGCCAGGGGCTGCGGAGCGCGGGCCGGCGGCCGGGCGGCGGGGGACTCCGCGCCGGGGGACACAGCAATATGAGGCGCAGGTGAGGACCGCTGCCCCGGAGCTCGGGTTTCCGCGGATGCTGACGGACGCTTGGGCCAGGTGACCCGCGGCTTCCGACGGGTGGCCGCGGCGCTGCGCCCGGGCCGCCCGGGGGCGCGAGGCTCGCCGCGTGGATGGCGCCGCCTTCTGGCGGCCCTTCCAGCCCTTCTTCGGCGGGCGCGGCCCCCGGCCCCTGCCCTTGACCCCCAGAGGTGGCGGCCGGGTGGGCCCCGAGTCCGGGGAGCTCTCGGCACCTGGTAGGAGTGGAGCGGGCTGCGGATGGAGGGTCTGGGAGGCGTTGGGTGCGGGGGCTGGAGGCCGGGGGCGGGTGGGGCCTGCCCGCTGCCGGCTGCCGGCTGCCGGCCGCCCGCTGCCCGACCTCCGGGCGTTGCTGAGTCCTGCCCAGAGAGCCCTGGTCTGCGGTTTGGCCGGGCTACGTGCGCTCAGGGGTCTGTGTGGCAGGTGGCCAGGGCAGCACCCTCCAGTCCCATTTCCCGTTCTTTTGTTGTGATAGTGGCGCACAGGGTGAGGCGATGGCAGCCACACGCAATGCTATCTAGGAGCCTCCCCTCCTCCTCTCCACCCTAACCACCTCCGAGGTATGCGCAGCCCACTGGGAATTCCTGCCGGTACTGTCACCTGGAGGAGTAACGTACCGAGTCAGAGGCCCCGGGGCGCGCGGGGAGCTAACGAAGGGGCTGCCGAGCTGCGAATCGCCGGACAGGGCCCCAACCTCCCTCTGGTGGGGCAGGGACTGGCCCACCGTCTCGGCTGTGCATCTGCACAGCCCAAACTCAGGAAGCGTTTCCACGAATACAAACCAAGTTTACGCCCTTTCACGTTGGTGTTTAACGCAAACGTTAATTGCGGTGTATGCCAAGTGCGTTCATGCAGAGGAATGCAGGTGAATTGTAAACAGCGTCATTTTTTTTTAAGGCTTGTGACTTTTTTTTTAGTGGCATGTGGATGAAGAGAATGGCGTTTAAACAGCAGTACACCAATGTGTATTCGGTCCCATCTGATCGCGTACAACGTAGAGGGTCCTTAGGTTGACAGCGTGTCCCCCAGGGCTGAGGAGCTGGGTTTTGTAGGAGGAGAGGCTTCTCACATGGATCCGTCGCTGGCCCCAGGAAGGCTTTGCCCTCTCATTACCTGGGCGCACAGGTGCCAGGTCACGACTGGGGTTGCCTTCTCCTCTGAGCACGTCTGTAAAGGACCTTCAGCAGGATCTTAAAAATTCCATGTTGTGTTGTCACGTGTACTTGTGTCAAAAGTCCGGCTCAGGTTGTTTTAGCCCTGCACTGAATTCTTCATGTGCATCAGGGTTTAAAATTTTAAAAACTTTGATAGTGTATTAAATAGCATGAGCTAATTCCACAATTATAGGGAAAACATAGTTTGGAGTTCCTCTTGCAAAGGATCTTGAGGAACTTGAACTCAGTTCCTAGCCAAGACTCCTTGTGTTCGCAGCACTAACCTTTGAAATGCCTAGGGCATGAGGACCAGATTGTGATTCCCCCCCCCCCCCACCTGCTGTGCTTCCCACCCAGTGAGGCTGTTTCTAAGTGCGGGAGTGAAAACAGGCCTTGGGATAATGTATGTAAAGTACTCAGGGCAATGCCTAGAGTTGGTGGACATTTAGTAGACGTGAGTGCCTTCTTTTCTTTCCTCTCTGGAGGCCTGTGGGCCATGAAATTGGATGCTGTGGGATTTCACACTCCCTTCCGAATTGGGGGAGGTGGGCAGCCTTCTTCCCACCCCAACCTGTAGCTCTCACTTGGAAACTTTTATGGTAGGGTTATAAATGAAACTCAAACCTCTGGACCCAGACATAAAGATCCAACAAGAGGACTTGAGCTTTTCCTCCTGCCTTGCATGTCACGTGGTTCGAGAGGATGGTGCTCACCTAGGGCAGGAGGTCTACACCGCTCCGCAGGAAGCTATGTGGTTAGAATTGACCCTGACCTGGGTCTCTTGAGTAGTCTTGTGGGTGAGGAATTTGGTGGTGGTTGTTTGACATGTCCAAGTGGCACCCTAAGCCTTCCCGAATTTCTCCTACACTGGTGTCTGGAGGGTGGCCCTGGGTGGGGGAGGCCCAAGCAGCAGGCGGGGTAGTCTCAGGTTCACTGGGCCCCCTGCCTCTGGCCATGTTATTCCCAGTCTCTAGAAGTGGAGGTGACGTGGTTTGCTCTAAGTTGCCAGTGACTTGATGTCTGAGTTGGACTTGAGTTCGGTTTTTCTTCTTACCTTACATTTCATTGATACTCTTACAGGAGAAGATAAAACCCTCTTTCTTGAGAATATGAAGGACTAAAGACACCAGACCATTGTGTTTTTCTGATGACGAGAGAGCTAAGAATAGTTGCCGTTTGTATCGCGCGCCGGTGGTGTGTGGGAGCTGGGCTGGTGCTTTCTGCACCTAGCCTGGTTCTCCCTCACAGCCACATGCAAGGCAGGACTCCTTATTGGCTCTGTCCTGCAGGTGATGAACTAGGGTTTGATGAGAGCCCAGGACAAGGGAGTGACAGAAAGCAGGCAGGCCCTTAGATCAGGGCTGTGTGGGTCCAGGAGGTGGCCCGCGGACCCCCATCCACTGGTGGCTGAGGAGCCCAGCAGAGTCCTTATACTGTTGTGTTGGCTCCCTGGTGTGAGGGGCTCTTGGTTGTGCTTGGCTCTATTTTTTATTTTTGTTAATTCTTTTTCAATTTACTGATTTTTACAGAGGAAGAGAGAGAGAAACATCCACCTGTTGCTCACCCATCCATACATGCATTCATTGGTTGATTCTTGCATGTGCCTTGACCAAGGATCGAACCCACAACCTTGGCATATCAGGAAGATGCTCTGACCAACTGGGCCAAATGGCCAGAGCTGGGCTTTATTTTTCCCTGAAGTGGAGTTTTGACACCCTGGACTTTTCTTGTGCCAGAAGCATTCCTCTAGCCAGGTGGAGGGTTATTACTTTAGAAACAATAACCACAGTTGAAAAAAAATCTGTATTTGGAGACTTGAAGTATTTAACAGGACCAGATAGGGAGAATAGGGGCGAGAGAGTGGAGGTGGGTTGTGGACAGAGAACGTTTGTGCTGTTCTAACCCAGGGGACGTATCGAGAATCCAGGCTTTTTAACTTAAGCTGCGGATTGAAATTGTAAACCTGGAGGCACGGCACTTGAGCTAGAATCTGTGCAGTAAATGAGGCTCTCGGTTTCTTTAGGTGGCAGGCTTGAAAATCCGACTCCACTGTGGTCTTTAGCTTCACAAAATTGTGGTAATGGTGAAGTTAGTGTTTGGAAATTTACCTAAAATCTTTGTGGACTTCCCCTTCCCTCTGGACCCTCGTGCCCTTCGGTTCTGCTTTTTGGAATTCAGCGCCAACCCTGTGCCGTTGGGCGGGGTGGTAGAGGGCGCCTGGCCCCAGCCTGGGATGCATCCACGGACAGAACAGCACGCGCCTGCCCGCTGTGGCTCAGCTGCTCGAGGCCTGCTGTTTTCTCGGCTTGGGGTTTAGCTGTCTTATCATTATCATGTTATCACCGTCCAGACACTGGGGGGTGGGGGACAGGCCAACCGTCGTCCTGCACCCTGCAGTTCTTGACTTTCTGTCATTGGCAAGTCAGGGTCCCAGAGAGGAGAAGAGGTCTTGGTAACTTAGAACCACAGCAGAAATGGTGGTGGTAATCAGATGGAAGGATGGAGAAGCAGGACTGTGCCTTGTGAGGTGGATGTGGAGGGTGGAGCCCCTGCTGAGCAGCCAGTTTGCTCCTCGGTGAGGAAGCCGAGGAAGCCTGCATCCCTCAGCAGCGCCGGCTCTGCGTCTGTCCCATGGAAGGAAGAGCCAGCGTGTGTCAGTGTGTGAATAAAAAGGAAAAAAAGGAGTCTCTTCACTCAGATGGGCTTGCAGAGGTCTGTTCACTGTGTATTTGGTGAAGGATCTGGTCTGGTTAGCTCAGCCAGGAGAGAGACGTTGCGGGAACTTGGGTAACTAGTAGCTTTTATTGAGTTGTCCTTGCTGCCTTAAAATAAGGAATAACCACGTGGAAGGCAGAGAGAAACTTTGGTTGGTCCCAGCCTTGTCTTCTCTCCTGCCCGCCTCTCTCCTGTTGCTGATTTGCCTTGCCCGTGTGGGTGCCCTGGCTTCAGGAGAGAGGAGGGCCCTGCCGTGCAGAAGGGGAGATGCAGAGGGGGCAGGACCTGCTCCCAGCACCCACCTGCAGCCCCTGGTTCCAACAGCAGACCGGTCACACAGGCTGTCCCCGGCCCACAGAAAGCTGACCAACAAGATCTGGCCAGTGCCACCCATGCTGCCTTGTTCTGAGTGAGAATTGTGGGGTTTGTTGGGGGAGAGGAAAGGCAGAGGGGCTGCATCGGGATGCTAGTGGCCTCAGTAGGGGATTGTCCACGCAGGCCAGCAGCACACAGAGACCAGTGAGGCACCCTAGGCCTCCCCTCTGCCCTTTCTCGTTTCCTTCCCTTTGCTCCGGGTTTTCTCTCTGGAAGCCTCAGGAGAGATGCATGTAGGTTAAGCAGCATGTCCTTGAAAACTGGGGCAGAGTTGGGAGGTGATTTTGATGCATTTAGAGGAGAGCACAGGCGTGGACTTCCAAGCAGGACCACTTGGGATGTGTGAGGGTCTCGGGACCTCAGGGCCGGGACCCCGGACCTGAGAGGAGGGTGAGGGACAGCTCTGCTCCCAGAGAAGGGGAGAAGGCCCTTCCCCTCCCATCCCAGTCTTCCACAGACCCTGGGACTGCCCCAGCCCAGCCCTTTGGGGGAGGTTTTTATTTTACATCTTCAGTGTTTTTACCCAAGCTCCTCTGGGATCCTAACCACTGCTGGCAACAGAATCTTTCACTCAGTCTGGTCATGACTGGTCAGTCACTTATTTACCTGTGGAAAAGGGAAGTATTCTAACTAGTGAGAGATAGGGGGGGAAAATCAGTCTGCCTTTAGCATTTTAAGCACTTTTAGGTAAGTGGTTCCTATGGACAATTCTGTAGTAATAGCTGTCACTCACTGGGCGTTGCTGTGAGCCACGCACCACGCCAAGTGCTTTGTGTGCGCCCAGTGTGTCTAGCGTTCAGGTAGGCGTTACCATGCTATCCTACAGGAGAACTCTTCCAGAGAGCAGCAGGTCCTACACCCAGTCAGTTGCAGAGGCTGGACAACTCCCAAGTCCTGCGTTTGGTCACCTTGCTGAAAAGGTAAACTGTGGAGGCAGTGATGGAAGAGGAAATGGGAAGAAACATGTGAGACCACACCTCGCACAGGCCGCAGCATGCGCTGCACAAGGCGTGCACAGCCTGTCTGGGCAAAGTGGGGCGCAGGAACCCGGGAACGTGGGAGCTTCAGGTCCCACGCTGGGACCTTCTCCCGGCACATTCACTGAGCAGCTGCTGTGTGCGGATAAGGCAGGTGCCCAGTGAACGGTGATGTTCACCTGTGAGAGGTCTCCATGCCGGGGGCGGAGGGGGTGGGCGTGGACACATGCATAGAACAGAGTTGTGATGAGGGACTTAAATGGCCAGGGAGCCCTGAACATGAAGTGGTAAGAAAGTTTATACTAACTGGCAAAGTAATTCTTGGTTAGGTTTTGTTAATTTTGAGCATGTGAGATGGAGAATTCCTAGACTTCGCCTAACCCTGTGGCTGTTCTTTCTGGCACGTTTGCATCTTTGCAGATTCCTCTCTGAGGACCAGCCCTGTACCTGCGTGGCAGGAAAGGCTGGGGCCACATCCCCTGCCCTGTGTCCTGCCCCCACTGAGGGCCTGGGGCTCAGCAGGCTGTCCTTGCAGTCCCTGTGTGCCTGGAGGTGGGGGTGGGGGAGGGGGTGTGGTGTGGGCAGTGCATTGGCAAGGCAGCTAGAGGAGCCTGCTCTCTGGGGGGCCCTTTCCCAGGCATTTCCACAGGGTGGGAGTCGTCTGGGCACGGAGGTCCTTAATTGGTGCTTAGAGAATAGTGGTGACCCTGTTACCGCCAAGGCTCTTCTCACTCAGGGACCTGGAGCCGGGGGTGGCCTTGGGGTGGCGTCTGCCGGGCTCCCACTCCTCCTGCTTCCTTGAACGTCTCTTCTTCGTCATGCGCCAATTTTAGCAGCTGATACATTGCGGGGAAAGGCCTGACGGGATTCTAACTGCTGGAGGTTCTTAGTCAGAGACAGCCTTTGCATGTGTTTTAATCTCTTGGGGGACCTCTGGGTCACTTTGATCAGCCTGTTCAAATAGAAATTACTCATGTCTCCTGGAAGCGAGGTGCTCATCCCTGCTGCGTTGACTGAGTTGGCTCAGTTTGGTAATAACTCACAGGACGCAGGTGGCGAACACAAGGCCCACGGGCCGAGCCCGGCCCTCCCCCTTGTCCTATCCGGCCCAGCACCGTGGTTCTCACAGCAGCAGCGCCGAGCCCTCCCTAACTGCTCAGGGGCAGTTACATTTGCACAGTCTTCAAGCTACATTCGGCCCTTTGAAGGCGACCGTGAAGCTGATGTGGCCCGGGGGAAATGGTTTGACACCCTGCTGTAGGATCTTTTACGTGCTGCTCAAATGGAGAGTTCTCTCTGTCCATGACCGTGAGCCCCGGGAAGGTTCGTCAGCTTCCAGCTGTCCCTCACTGTAAGAAACCTTGATGTGTGGACATGTGGGTTGACTCCCCAAATATAACGCTGTGTCTGTACTTCTTGGCTTTAAATTTAATTCTTCACATAAAGCAATTTTGCAACAGAATTTGTTCTCTAGGAATTTAAAATTTTAAATTAAAAATTTTAAAGTTAAAGAAGGGCACATGAGAGGGAGAGCAATGAAGCCGGGGATGTCGGAGGGCCGTTGTCGTGCCCCGGGCGCTGGTCTGCACTCCCCGTGCGCTGTCTCCCCGCAGGTGAGGGGCGGCCGCCACATCGCACCTGCCTGAGGAGGCCCCACAGGTGTGCGCATCTGGTCCGCGCGCGCCCGCTCGGCCTGGAGCGGAGGAGCCTGGGCTTGGACCCTGGTCTCGTGACTGCAGTGTCCCCGCACCCCCCCCCCCACACACACAACGTGTCCTGTGTCCCAGGCCGCAGGCGGGCCTGCCCGGGTGAGCGGCGGGGGAGCCGGGCCCAGGGCTGCCAGTGCGCCCGACGCCTCCGGAGCAGCGAGGGGCCGGCTCGGCTGGCGGGCCCGGGGCAGCGTCTGCGGAGCCGAGCCAGGTTCCCCTGGGTGCTGGGAGGCGGGGGAGGCGTGCTCCTTGCCTCCTGGGGTCTCCCTGGGGCTGGGGAGACAGACGCACACGCACACGGTTTTTGTTGTGTGGTGAGAGCTGGGGCGAGGGCAGGACTGGGTGCCCAGGGGGCCCCGGTGGGTGAGCGCGGGGTGGGCACAGCCGCGCAGCCGCGAGAGCGCCCCGCCGGGCGGAGCCCGGGGCCTGCGGGCTTCTCGAGCGGGGAGCAGGTTGTTCTCCCGGCCGAGGGGCGCTGTGGTGGCCGCGGGAGCGGCTCGTCGGGTGGAGGCTCGGCTCGTCGGGTGGAGGCGGGAGCGGCTCGTCGGTGGAGGCGGGAGCGTCCAGGCCGCCCCGCGGTGGGAGGAGCCGCCGTGTTTCACGGTGAAGGTCGGAGAGTGAGGCCTCGGGCGTTCAGTGGCCACGTGGCCTCCGGCCACAGACAGCTGCTCAGCGACTGGTGCGGAGCACTGCACCTCCCGGCCCTGCGTTTGAACTTCGTATAGTTCCCGCGCGTCAGAAACAGCCTTTTAACGCCGCACCCCCGCCATTTAAAAGTGTAAAGGCCTCCTTCACTTGCAGGTTGGTTTTGGCCCCCAGCTCAAGGTTTGCTCACCCCGAGCCGCGGGAGGTGACGGGTGGTGTTCAGGCGTGACCTGACCGGGAACCGGGGCCAGGTGCTGGGGGTGGAGACGGAGAGGAGGGGGCCCTGCCGAGGCCTTTGGGAGGGACAGCGCTCAGGAGACCCAGGGGCGAGGAGGGGAGGAGCCCGCGCTGAGGAGGCTCTGGCGTCGAGAAGGGGAGGAGCTGGCTGAGCCGGAGGAGCCCCGGGCTTGGAGCGGGACGAGGGGGAGGAGCCCCTGCTGAGGAGACTGAGGCTTGCAGGAGGGGGAGGAGCTGGAGGAGTGGGAGGAGCTCCAGGCCGGGAGCACGAGGAAGGGGAGGGGCCCCTGCTGAGGAGACTCGGGCGTCAAGAAGGGGAGGAGCCCCAGCTGAGGAGACTCAGGCTTGGAGGAGGGGGAGGAGCGGAAGGAAGGGGAGGAGCCCCTGCTGAGGAGACTCAGGCTTGGAGGAGGGGGAGGAGCGGAAGGAAGGGGAGGAGCCCCAGCTGAGGAGACTCCGGCGCCGAGAAGGGGAGGAGCTGGAGGAGTGGGAGGAGCTCCAGGCCGGGAGCACGAGGAAGGGGAGGGGCCCCTGCTGAGGAGACTCGGGCGTCAAGAAGGGGAGGAGCCCCAGCTGAGGAGACTCCCGCGCCGAGAAGGGGAGGAGCTGGAGGAGTGGGAGGAGCTCCAGGCCGCGAGCAGGAGGAGGGGGCGGGGCCCCAGACAGCCCTGTGCCTCCAAGGCTGCTGCCCACCCAGCCCCTGGGCTGGTCTTGTTTTCCCTGTGCCAGGAATGTGACTTGATTCTGGAGGAAAATCCAGAAAGAGCGGAGGTCTCAGGTGCTCCTGGACTCTGTCAGCACGGTTACTCGTTCCGATCGACTCCCTGTGAGTGTCACTAGGCTGCCACCTTGCATCTGGGCCTCCAGGTGCCTTAGCAAGAGGTGGCCTGCTTGTCAGGCCATAGGTAAAGTTCATTTTTTGAATAATTCTTTCTTTTGATAAGATTTTAAATTTACAGAGAAGTTGCAAGAGCAGTACGAGGAGCTCTTTGTACCTATTATCTGCATTTATCAATAATTTTATCAATTATTTTCATTTTGCCCTGATTGCTTTATCTGCCTCCACCCATATATTGTACATGCATTTACCCTGACCCATTTGAAGGTTGGAGACACTGTGTCCTGTTTACCCCGAGACACTTCAGTGCAGGTTTATCAAGAATAAGTGTGTCCTTCCACAACCATAGCAGGGCGATCAGCATCAAGAAACTGAACATTGAGACACTGCTGTTACCTAAGGGTTATTTTGGACCCTAGCACCCCTCCACAGCTGTTACTCTGAGATTACCTGTCATGCAAAAAAGGATGCAGTGTCCCTTTAGCAGTGTGATGGACATAGGTGGGTACCTGCCCGGCTCTGGAGCCACACCCCCAGCAGTGGTGGCTCCCCAGCACCCACTTGGGGCTCTCAGTGGGGTGTGGCAGGGCCAGCGACTGACTGCCAGAAAGGAAAAGGAGTTTGGGGGCTGAAGGCTCCCGTGTTATCTGAGTCTCCCAAGGGCAGAAGCTGTGTGCTTCCGTGGCCCCTGCTCTCCTTGCTGCCTTCGTGAGCAAGTCAGCTTCCCAAATGGAAGGGTACCCACTGCCATTCCCAGAGATGTCAGTGCTGTTGCAGGCCTGCCCTTCCTTCCAGCCTTCCTCTTCTCCCCTGTATCTTGGTCCATGCAGAGTGGGTTTTTTTCCCAGGTTTGCTCTAGAAGTAGGTTAGGTTGGATGAATTTGTTTTGGAAATTACCCTTTCTGACTTAAAGCAAAAGGGATGTTCTTTTTGCTGCTTTAAAAGACTGAAACCATGCCCTGGCTGGTGTGGCTCAGTGGATTGAGCACCTACCTGCGAACCAAAGGGTCCCTGGTTTGATTCAGTCAGGGCACATACCTGGGTTGTGGGCCAGGTCCCCATTGAGGGGCCTGCGAGAGGCAACCACACAATGATATTTCTCTTCCTATCTTTCTCCCTCTCCTCCCTTCTGTCTAAAAGTAAATAAGTAAATAAATAAAATCTTTAAAAAAGTCTGAAGTCAGAAGCAGGGCAGTGTCTGATGCCTGTTGTGTTGTTCCTCATGAGGAGCTGGAGCTTGCTTGGCTCCACAGGCACCTGTGGAAGAAGAGTCTGGAAGTTGTGCATGTGACAGAGGACTCACTGCATTCAGCTGAGCTCTCTGGGGCAGGTCAAGAGGCTTGGTCTTGGCCTTCGGTGTGCTGGCCAGACTGTGACTGCTCCCTGTGCTCAGTTGCTGCTGCCTTGTGATCCGAGCGAGACACCTGAATTATAAGAGTTGAGTCTTTGTGTCTTGAGTCCATAAGGCCCCCGTGCTGGTGTGGGAGGAGTGTCCAGGCTCTGCACTCCCTGAGTCCCTGATTGTCAGGCAGAGAGATATTGGCTGTCACCAGTGTAAGGGGACGTCCTGGAGATACAATCTGAACATGAAGTTGGCCGGTTGCTTGGAAACATACGAACACCATGCACATTCCGATGTTTCCATAGCAGTGCCCTGCTCTGCATGGGCACACGGTGTCTGAAGCTGCCTGGACAGGGTCTGCTGTCCTCGTCAGCTGTGTGTTTTGTGGACTCTGGCAGACCAGGCAGTATTCAATTAACTTCATCTGGAAAGCACCAGGGATATAGGGAGTGAGCTCGAAGTTCACTCTGGGCATCCAGATAAGTGAGAAAAGAGCACCTAGGACAGGGGTGTCAAACTCATTTTTACCGGGGGCCACATCAGCCTCGCAGTTGTCTTCAAAGGGCTGAATGTAATTTTAGGACTGTATGAGTGTAACTAGTCCTTACCTAGGGAGAACTCAGCACTGCCGCTGGGCAGAAACGAGGTGGAGGGCCAGATTTGGCCTGTGGGCCTTGTATTTGCTGCCTGTGAGCTAGGGAGCACTGGGAGGCCCAGAGAAGCGGCCCTGCAAGGCCTTGTGCTGCTCAAAGCCCAGTGTCACTGCCGTACACTCCTGCTCAGCTTCCCGGGCCTCCCTGTACTGCAGCAGTCCAGGTGCACCCCTGCCTGTGGCCTCTGCACAGGCTGTTCCCAGGAGGTCGCATGGTCAGTTCCCTTAGCCCCACACCACTTTCTCCATGGAAGCTTCTCATGACACCCAGTTTAAGTTCTAGCATGTCCCTTTCCACCTCGTCCTCCAAACTTTTTCATCCTGCTTGTAGTTCTCTTTCTCCCAGGGTGTTCCCCACTCTGCAGCGTACACCATTGAAGTTCATGGGTGCTTCACAGTCTGGGTGGCGGGGTCCAGGTGTCTGGGTGTACTTCCCAGCTTCACCTGGGCCAAGACTCAGGTCACCACACCTAGATGTCTTAACCCCTGTAGCTCAGTTTCCTCATTCAAAAGAATGGTCCCTAACTCAGGGTTTTCATGAAGAGTAAATGGATTGATATTTATAAAGTGGAGTAAGTACTGTATGCGTGATTGATAACCAAAGCTTTTACTCTTTCCTCCCACTGAATGGAAGCTTTGTGAAGTCGCAGAGCTTTATCTCTGGTTCTGTAACGTGTCCCTACATTCGGAACAAGGCCTGGCACACGGCGAGCGTGCTGAGCGAGAGCGCAGGTGTTGGGGAGTCAGGCTCACCTGCGGGCAGCAGGGGCCGGCTCCATACGTAGTGGTTCTGCAGTCAGACAGGGTCTTTTTCAATAGCTGTTTCATTTTCAGACGAGATATTTTGCCTCCCGAGTATACATTCATAGCTCGTTTCAAAATCTCCTTGTAACACTACTGAACTTAGATCGTATTAATTTTACCTTGTCAAACATTTACATTCAATTTTATAGCATAAATCCTGTAGGATTCAGTGATTATTTTATTCTGGCTTTTCTGTTTTCGATGACTTTATTTTGATTCATCTCTCAAGGCCCTGACCAGTGCAGAGATGCCCCTCTGCATTGCTCCTCCCCCCGTCTGGGGCTCACTCCTCCCTGGTCTGAGCGGTGAGCGGAGTCAGATAAAATGTGGTGCACTGAGCACCAGGCACGATAGTGGCCTGGCTGGTAGCAGGTGGTGAGTGTTGATGCTTCTCCTTCCTCAGCTCCACGGGGAGGAGTGAGTCATGAAGGAAGCAGGTTGGTTCAGGGGGTGGGGGGTATGGTGAAGGGAGAGGGACAGAACCAACCGCGGTGGTGCATCGAGGTGAGATCCTCACAGGCAAGGCTAGCTGGGGCGGTTAATAAACGAAGCTCTTTATGATCAAACTCGATGCTAAGGTGAGAGGTTGAGATTTTCTTTTTATACTACTTCAGGAAAATGTAAGAATAATGCCAGGAACTTTTGTTTACCCTTGCCTAGAACCACCTGTTGTTTACATTTTCCCTGTGTGCTTCTTCATATATTTCTCCTTCTCTCTGTATGAAATAGGTACTTGTATTTATTCCTAGGAACTGGAATATACTCTAGATCTTGACAGGCAGCCTTTGGTTCTTAAGGAAGTGGTGCAAAAGGAAAAGTGCTTAGGGAGATGGCGGGGCCTGTGGGTGGTAGTTTGGAGTAATTTCTGCTGGCGGGTAATGAGGACATCAGTGATAGAGATGGACAAGAGGGTCAGGCCCAGGAGGGGCTTAGCGGAGCCCTGGGTGTGTCCTGCTGGGGACAGCTGAGGACCAGGAAGGAGGGGCTTTATCTGCCATTAAAAGCAGCCCTGCTCTCTGGGGAGGACAGCGGTGTGCATGGTCTGAAAAAGCAAATTTAACTTTGTTTTGTACATGGGGAAATGAGACACCACTCTGTGCTTTTACTCCTGCAACAGCATACAAAGATAAAAGTATTCTGCATTGTTTTTTTCCCATATATATTTAATCCTCAGCCGAGGATACATCTATTGATTTTGGAGAGAGAGGAAGGACGGAGAGAAGGAGAGGTATAAATGTTAGTCGATTGCCTCCCGTACAAGCCCTGACCAGGTATTGAACCCTCAACCTTCTGGGGTGTGCGACTGGATGCTGCTGCAACCAGCTAAGCCACCTGAAGGGCTCTTGCATTCTTAAGGGAGCAGTGGGGACCTGCTTTCTGGCAGAGGTGTGCAGAGTGTGGAGGGCGTGGGGGGTGAGATGCAGCAAGGTCTGCAGGAGGCACTGCAGTTGCTGCTGGCAGGGGAGCTAGTCTGCAGGGACAGAGTCTGATACAGGTCTTGGGATCATCAGTGTTTCAGCGGAGACCTTTGGGACCGAGGAGGGGTGAGGTGCAGAGGAAGAAGCTGAAAGGGAGGGTGGCAATAGTGATGTAAAAAGAAATAGGGTTGAGAAAGGACCCATACGGAGCCAGAGTAGACCAGACCAAGTGAGTGAGCTCCAGCATTTTGGTGTCAGGCCAGTGCCTGCCGGGCCCAGAGGTCCTGCTTGGGCTCTGTTTTCCCAGAGTTGTGGCCACAGCTAAGGAACACCCTGGGAGTAATGCCACCCAGGGTGCTGAACCCAATTAGACTGTTGAAGGGTTTACAAGTGACCTCCCACTTGTAACAAATTTATCATCAGAGAAGGGGTCTTACATTTGAGCTGATACTAAGCATTGAAAGACCCCTCCCTTCAAAGATAACATGTTAAATGGAAGGTTGGTATTCTCTGTAGCTTTCAGAATTTCCAGCTGTAGGAGAAACTTCCTACAGGAAAGTTGGCTGGCCCCTGGAGCAGCAGCTCTGAGGAGCGGAGTTGCTGCGGGTCCCTCACACGTTGTTCCCACACGTGTGCATCCAGAAACTTTGCGGCCTGAACTCAGGGAATGTGGGGGTGGCATCCAGTCAGACCTCAGGGTCACATTTTCAGGAATTTTGCAAGTTGGTTGTTAAAAGCACATTATTAAAAGTGAATCCTATAAACATATAATTAAGTTATTTAAAAACAAGAGTAATAGAAACGCCCATCTCACCACATCCTAGTTATTTTGGCATTGGCTACGCCCTCCCATCTCCTGAGCCACGTATTAGAAGTTCTGGGGTGGGGGTGGCGCATCTCCTTCCAGCTCTGTGTGTTTGGTCCATTGCCTCAGCAGGTGATGGAGAAAACGTTACCACTTGCAGTTTATACTTAAAATGTTTGTTGTGTCTGTCGCCATTACATTACGAACAGCACCCAAATACTTGAGGAAATACCCTCCTCGTATTTGAAAAGCAGGGTGCAGTTCAGCGACGAAGTGCTCAGATCACATTTGATGTGCATCTTTCTTGTTCCACTTTTGTTTTACCCTTACAGTAAATAAAACTACCTACCAGCATTCATTCATAACTTAATCCAGTACAGCCCTCTGTGAGACCCAGTTAGAGTGTGGAGTTTACAGGAAAGGCATCATGTATTTTATTGCTACATTACTATCATATGCCGGTACATGTTTATCACTGTATTGCATGTTTTATTACTGTTGTATGTTACACATCATTCCTGTCAGTAAAATGTATAATGAATGTTTATGCACATCAAAGCAGGAACATGTTTTTGGAGACCAGGTTAAGCATTGACCAGCGTGCCGCCAGACCTTTGGGAGTCCCCACTGCAGTGGGGGAGAAGTCAGTAAATCTTCACAGACAGCTCAGTGTGACGGGCACGGGGGAAGGACCAGTGAGGGTCCCTGAAAGTGTGTGACCAGGTACTTAGCCCACGGGGAGCTGGGAAGGCCTCAGGGGAGTGATCCAATTTCAATAAAGCAGAGACTGGGGGTGACAGGGTGTCGGGGCACCCAAGGGCACAGCTCTGGGCAAGGTCGGAGTGTAAGACTTAGAGGGAAGGAGGCAGATGTTCTGCAGAGAGAGGTGGGCGTGGAGCAGGCTGTGGGGCTACAGGTCACGTGAAGGGCATGCTAGCTCAGGATTCTGCTTTAGGCAGTTGGCCACGCAGTTGCCACAGACACTCAGGCAGTTCTCCATGTGGCTGATCAGATGTGGCTACAGAAAAGAGGTGTTGATAGGATTTCTTGCGAAGTAAGTAGTTAGATGGGGCAAATAAGAATCCCCCACTTGCTGTTTGCAAGACTTGGTGTGTGTAGGACTTGGTGCTGGTTTCCAAGGAGACAAATGGTAAACATTGTCCTTCAGCCCCGAGGAGTGTGTTTCGTGGTCTCATGGTCGGGGAGCCACGTGGATGCCCAGGGAGCTGTCTACGTGGACAGAATGCTGTGGGGGGAGCAGTAATGCTGACTGTGGGTGCGGGAGGCCACATGGACAGGTGTGGTAGTAGTGTGTAATACTTTACCTGTGGGACCCCGGAAGAGTACCCCACTTTCATTGTGTGTGTTCCAGTAAAGCATTATTTATAGACTAGGTAATTTAAAAGTTAATGTTATTTTCACGTTTTGAAATTTTAAATGTTATTCTTTTGTTTTTTTCCAACCATTTAAAAATGTAGGGACCATTCTTAGCTTGGACCATAATTGCAGACTCCTGCTCTAGACTAGAGGCTACCAAAGGCTGCAGGAATTTTCTTTCATGTGCCCAAGAATGTGGAGAAGGACACTCTAGGAGCCAGATGGAAATCATTAACCCAAAGTCTGGGAGGGAGATGGTCTCCACCAGCCACACTCAAACAGGGAAACCTGGGGACTGACGACCACTAATGACCGCCACTCCCTCTCGAGGGCACAGTCTGGGTGTCCCTCCCACAAGCAACGCTTGAAAATCACAAAGGTTGTAAACTAAAGTTCCTTCGGTCTCACTGTGGTGAGGTGGTTTCTTCTCTCTGTCTGTGGTTGTAAGGCTTCTCTCCAGCAAGTGTTCAGCTGGTGATTCAGGACAGTTTTTCTCCAGTGAGGCTGCAGTTCTTGATTGGTCCTGGGAAGAAGTGGGTGTAGCTCCCACTCCTCTGCCGTCGTGGGTCCCCAAGGATCCCGCTTTTGACCAAAAGCGTTTTGTGTCTCGGTTCCTGATTGATCCCCGGTACTCACTGCCCTGCCGTCTCTGACCAATTCATGAGTGACCAGACTGCCGGGGCGGGACACTTCCTGCCATCTTCCCATCCTTGGGGACGTGCCTTCAGAACACTGTGCTGGTGCTTTATGTCTACCAGGAAGGCTTCTGGTAAGAGACCGAGATGAAACTGACACAGAGCATCCCCTTGACCTGGAGGAGCGGTGCTGGCCTAGAAGGAGGTGTGGAGAGGGGCTCTGTCCCCCCGGGCCAGGATCCCTATGCGGCACAGCGCCCTTCCAGCAAGGTCTTCGGTAAAGAGGCTCGGCATTTGTCTTCTCATTTTACCCCACTCATTGAGTGGCTGCAGCGTGCCAGGCCCTGTGTTACTGAGGGTAATACAGTGACACATAAGAGATGGGTACTGATCTCCGTTTTTTTTAACAGCTTTATTGTATAATGCACATACAGTACCGTTCACTCCCATGGTGTGTGCGCCTCACTGGGCTTTACTATGTTCAGAGTGGTGCCACCATTACCATAAATAGTTGTAGAACATTTTTGCCATCCCCAAAAGAAACCCTGTACACACAGCAGCAAGTTTTCACTTCTCTTCAACCCCTGCCCCCAGCCCTAGGCAACCACCACTCTCCTCTCTGTCTCTGCAGATTTGTTCTTTTGGACGTTTTTCACAAATGGAAGCATACCGTATACGATATATCGGCTTTGTTCACTTAGCACGCTGTTTGTTCCTAGCATGCATCAGGACTTCTTTGC